ATAAGCGTCATTATAGGAAAAATGTTTTGAGCGTTTGAGTTTTAAATTTTTATGAAATCAGGTATATGTATATCTATGATAATATAAGCTATTATGAATTATGATAACTACATGTAATGTTTTTGAAAAATTGATTAACCATGCCTTATGCAAAATGCGTCTTAATTGAAAAATAAAATATTTGTTTCGAAAWAGAATATATGACAATATTTAAATATAATATATATCCTAGACTGATAATTAATCATCTCCGTTCAGAATCGTTTTTCGTATACAATGATACCTATTATTRCATTCAAATCTAACCTACCCTAGTCARAGGTCCACCCCACCTAAATGTACAGCAGAGCGATACCCACCTTCCCGCTTTTTTTTGCCATGAAATTTTGTATTTATTTCTAAAATATTTTTGAACATTTTATTTAAATTATAAAATATTTAAGAGTGGATAGTGCCTGAGTACCATAGTCATAGTGGATATAAAGTCCAATTTAATTTATATAGTTTTCAGGTATTTGTTTATGTATTCAAGTATAATATTATAGACAATATTAATATGTATATATTATATATAAATATATTATAAAAGTAAGTGAAATTATAATAAAAATTAAAACAAACAAACATAAAATAAATAAATGTCAAATTATTCATGGTGAAAAAAAATCATTTTTGTTAATTTTGCTTTCGAACGGCCAAATTTAATGTTTTGATCATTAATTTTCCTGATTTCATGAAATAAACGAATATCTAGATATTTTAAGGCAATCAATTTAATTAATTGAATCCAAAAATGATTCTTGTTCAGGGCACTGGGAAAACAAATTTGTATTACGTTTATACAAATTCACTTTAACTTTTGTAAATAAATAAAATAAGTGGCGGGCTAAAATATTAGATTTTCAATAAGTGATAACACAAGTCGAGATAACAGGCACCTTTGTGAGACAGGAGATATCTGCTCTCTCGGAACGCGGCGCCTATAAATGTTATAAGCATAGCCGTCTAGCCGTGGTCCATCCATTCTTTATTATCTATGCTTCAAGTAGGCACCATTGAATTCTCATCTCATTCATCCCGTTACAGATAAGCGTCGGCGTCCACTCTCGTCTTYTATCAACCGGTGATTGCTGTATACTAAATGGCTACGAAAATGAAGCTGGTCGACAACGTCGTGCGCAGCTTCAAGGTGGCCAAAGTGTTCCGTGAGAACACGGACAAGATCAATAGCTTTGACTTTTCACCTGCCGGCGATTACATTATATCATGCAGCGAAGACGACCAGATCGTCATTTACGACAGTCAGAAAGGTGAGCTGTCCAAGACCATCAACAGCAAGAAGTATGGCGTCGATCTCATACATTTCGCGCACACTAAGACGACTGCCATACACAGTTCGACCAAAGTCGATGACACCATCAGGTATAATATATTGGCCAAACAGCCAGCTTCTCACAATCAGTGACGACTTGTATACTTAAGATATATTTTTGACCAATTATTATGCTTTGCTTTATTGTATTTGGTAGAAGAGGCTCGCTTGAGTTGTTGAATATTATAATTATCGGTCAACACCAAAGCGACTTAGTCTCGTCCATAATTTTTTAATTCTAGAAAATAACTAGGTAGGTATCAGCTGTATGTAAAGAATTTTACTTTGATTACTTAGTATTTATAAAGTACGCCCTACCTATTTAATTTTAATCAAATCAATTAATAAGCATGTTTAGACACCTTATAACCTACCTAACCTATTACCTYGATTATTACTATTCTACTTGTTCAGAACAACCTTTAAATAAAATGWTCATTTACATTTCTTGTATTTTTAAATAAACACTTATTTTTGATTTTCTTAAATATTAACAAATTCATATGATCATTAATTGTAATTATGTTAATACATATGATCTGCTGAGCACACTATGTTATGCACTTGTAAGACTTGTTTATGTCCTCTTATTTATATTTTTGTTAGTATGGGTTTTACACTTTCACATGTATTACTAGTTTAATATTTTTACGCACTGGAATTAAATCCATTTAAACCTATTAATCGCAAATTAAAACTATCTTTGGACAGCTTGATGTATGTATTAAAAATAAATAAATAATAATAAGTTAGTTGGTAAAAAGTATTTAATTAAAATAAGTCAAGTAATTGCTCCCTACGCCTGTTGGCCCCAGTTGCCATATAGGAGGCCCACTTTAATGGACTTGTGATCAATCTAAGAGTTTTTCTGGGTTGTTGTCAACATAAATTTACTTTGCTTTAATAAATGATAAAAAGGGAGGAGTCATTAATAGTTTAAGACAAGGATATTAGTCTTTCTAAGTTTTCTTAGGATAATGTCTATAAAGAATCAATAAAAGTTGAAAGGGTTTTGTTGTATGGCCACTATTGCCTATAATAAATAATAATGATATAATACTTTAAAATTTAAAAATATTTAAACATATAAGTACCTTTATCCAATATTTTAAATATAGATTGGATTTATGGTTTTTTTTTTGTAAACCATGACACTTTTAATTTTTAGGTATTTATCATTACATGATAATAAATACATTCGCTATTTCACGGGACATGCCAAAAAAGTTGTGTCATTATGTGTGTCTCCTATTGAGGACATGTTTGTTTCTGGATCATTGGATAAAAGTCTCAGATTATGGGATTTGAGGTCGCCCAATTGTCAAGGTTATATCAATGTTATGGGAAGACCAGTTGCAGCTTTTGATCCAGAAGGCTTAGTGTTGGCTGCTGGAATTAATTCTGAAACTCTGAAACTGTTTGACGTTAGGTAAATTAATTAGTGTTTATTTTTATTAAATAAAAATAATAACTATCACTGACCGACACCTTTTATTTTAGATCATTTGACAAAGGACCTTTCATAACTGTGAAGCTTCCTCAAGAAAAAGAATGTGACTGGACCGATCTAAAATTTAGTCAGGATGGCCGAACCATACTTATTCCTACTAACGGATCTTTAATTAGATTGATAAATGCGTTTAATGGTACTCCGATTCAGACTTTTACTGGTCACCTAAATAATAAAGGCATTCCTATCGAGGCTTCGTTCAGTCCAGATTCTCAATACATATTCAGCGGGTCAACTGATGGTCGTATTCATGTATGGAACGCGGTTACTGGTTATAAAGTATGTGTTCTCAATGGCGATCACCCAGGTCCAGTACATTGTGTTAAATTTAATCCTAAATACATGATGATGGCCTCTGCATGTACAAATATGGCATTTTGGTTACCTACAGCTGATGATTTAGCCAATTTGGCATAAGTCAAATCTTAATTCTTTGCGTATGCATTAGACTTATATTACCTAAGTACAATGTACTTATTTAAAGTTAAAACATTTAAATTATTGATTTTCCTATAATTTAAGTTTACTTATTAACTTCTATTCAATTATTTGAAAAGAATAAATGTAATTACTTTTTATTTGTATAATCATTTTTGGTTACTCAGTAAACACTCCTTGATGTAAAAATCAGTTATAATTTTGTTTCATTACTCCTTTTGAAAGCTTAAATGCATTCAACAAATTTTGATTTTTATACTTAATTTAAGGTTATTTATTAATTAAGTTATGAAATGATTAGAATGAATTGATGTTTATTAGTCCTAATCTTATATATTTTAATATTATATGTGTGTTATATTTAAGATTAAGATTCTTCTTGTAAATGTCTATTTCTTTTTGAAATTAACTGCTGAGTTACATTGTTAAAACATAGGTATTATACTTTTGATTATTGGATTATTGGTGATATTTTAATGAGCAAGATCAAATATAAAATATAAATGTATAATAATTAATCCCTTTGCCAGAATTATCTGTTAGCGGTTTGACATTCAGCAATTTACCAAATYGGCATATTTTTAAAAACATAATGCTCATTGTAAATTATGATCAGTCAGTAACCTACCTAATGGTGCTTAAATAAAATTACATTTAATTCAGATAATACCTACACTTGATTGAATCATTTTTAAATGTAATAAAAAATTCATAATTTAACATGTTTTAAGCTATTACAAGTTAATTTGAATATTGATGTGATTACTTTTATCCAGTATTTGACCAAAAACTATGATTAACAGATGAAATAAATTTTGAATATATTGTAATTTATTTTAATAAAAATAATTGTTGAATTTGTGAATACTTAAGAGGATGTCAGCAAAATATTAGTTTACATTCTCAGACTCATGCGTGGCAGATAATACACATAAAACTGTTTTTGAGATTATTAATTTTTTAACCATAGAGTAAAATTGCATATTGCAAAAGTTATAGAAGATAATTTTGGAGTGTTTAACGTAATACAGGTTTTATGTTATTATTATTTGACTTTAAAAATAAAAACAACTTTATAAATTTAAATGGCTATTAAATTGTTTTAACACTATTTAGACAAATTACCGTGAAATCTAAAACTTTTGTAATTAGGGATTTAGCTCATAAGATTATTCAATAACAAAAATGTATTTTGCATATGTTTTGTATGATAAAATGATAAAAAAAAATCAGTGCAATGACATCCTCTTAAGTTATTTTGATGTTGAAACAAATTAAATTTGATTATGAAAATAAATTAGTTTGTGAATTTTATCACTCTCCATAACTATTTTTTTTTTTTATTAGTTATATAATATATTTTAAATTATTATATTTAACAACACATAAAATAAGTGACAAATTCTTCAATGATTGTATATTTTATGAAATTCATGAATTTTAAATTATTAAGTATAAACTTTTCATAGAGTTTGTTACTACCAACATTGCTTATATCGTTGAAAATTGTAAATAACCTGAGCACTAATTCTAAATTGTATGTTGTATTAAATGTGTTTTTGGTTAAAAAGACTCCACACTTTGATTTGTTATCGGTCAGGATCTTATTGCATCATACTAAATTAAATTTTTTACACAATACTGAGGCATTGGGTTGTATGTTATTGAGCTATATACTTTTTATCTAATGTTTATAAYTGTCATGTGTTGATTATTATAATACTTAACAGTTCATACTCGCGTATATAAATTAAATCAAAGGTCAGTTTGTAATTATAATTTTCTGTGTTGCTGATGCATTATCTACAGCATAGATAACAAATTGGTGTGTGCTGTCCTTTTAAGTTATAAAAGTTACTATTAATTTTATGTACAACTATTATACTGTATTAATTTATAACTATTAATCAAAGTTTAAGAGTTATAAAAATTTTATTGAATAAAAAAAATGTGGAACATCAGCGTCATAATTATTAACTTGTGTTAATATTATAATAATAGTAAAGTAATAATTATTAAATTGATAATTATTTTGTCAATTATTTATTTATTTATTATTAAAGATTTTACTGTATTTATTAATGCAAGAAAGAAAAATCCTTTGTGTTGAATTAAATTTTGAATGAAAACCATTTTTTTTATATAATTTTTTATGGTATGTTGAATATTAAATTCTGAATAGTTTATCAGTAGTAGTATTATTTATCATATTTAGGTCTTAACTTTTATACAATACTTAAATTTTGTAAGTTAAATTGAAATATGTATACCAGAAAATATTACCTAATTATTTAAATGGTATGGATGTTAATGTTTATTATTTTTAAAAGTGTTTTTCTTATTAAAAATCAATATTCTTGGATGTTGTAATTTTCCATTAAATATATCATATCATGTTTTAAACATAATATTAATTTWAAAAAAAAATGTATGTTATACAAGCAAAAAATTGACTCATATGCWAAAGCTGATAATTTGATGACTAATAACAATTTTCTGACTTTACTGTTCAATGTATTTATTTTAGTTCTCTTATCAATAGGAGCTATTTGAAAACTCACCGTTATTTTAATTAATACAATGTTGTATGTAATTGGATTAAGTATAACTTTTCCAAATTTCCATTGGAATGTAATATATATAATTGATTGTTTAATATACATTTTATTTATTATTGTTCACCAAAAATAAAAAACTATTAACATAAACTTTCATATTTATAATTTTAGAATCTAGAAACTTTGCTGTATAAGTTTAGCTTATGTGAAGTAAAAATTGAAAAAATTAAAAAATATACCATTATTACATGATAATTTGTGTAAAATAAAATACTAAAATACAAAACCTTTATAATAAATAATATAAGTTTTTTAAATGAGTATTGTTGAAATGTATTTATGGAAATATTATAATAAATATATTATATTATTTTTAATTATTTATTTTGGTGAATAGCTGTAAGATTTTGTTGACAAATTAATTGTCGAAAATGATTAACACTGTCGGCTTATTTAGACTTGACCCGGCATGTTGTTAAAATGTTTAGTCATTTTTCACACGTGCCGAGGTAAAAATAACAGCTATTATATTACATTTCTGAAGTTTTAAAACAAAATTATCATACCCTGTATATTATTTAGTCTTCTATTTTATCAAAGTACTGAGTCGGGCTATGCGATTGGCTGGTATCAGTCGTCGCGTGATAGGTGGAACGTAATACCATCGACTTTTGGTTGGCGGTTGTCGATGCGTATAGGCGGGGCCCATATTGTTTACGCCCCAAATGTTTCTCATGCAGGAGCTTCATTGGCACAAATAAGAAAAGACTATTGGTCTACACATTAATTTAATTTATCCAGTCGTAACATMTTGTTTTTAAAATTTTAAATATTGATTCTGCTGAACGTTAAACTTTTATGAATGGTAGAAATAGGCAATCTCTTAGTTTGAAAGTAAATCAATATTTTTCATAAATTCAGTTTGACACAAGTTTTATTATTTTATTTTTTAGTCTCGACAAATATTTTGAACTTATTACAATATTGTATTATTGTGTTAAAATTAATTAATTAAAAATATATTATATAGTTATAACTTGAAAGTAATTTATTTTCTGTTTTATTTATTGAATCTAACACGACAAGTGATATCAAATTTATCGTAATAACTATAGTAACAATGAGTCAATGACCCTGAGCATTTTATGTATGAACTTAATATTATAATCATAATWATCTATTTTATAAATACACTGAATTTATCACACATTAAATGTGATATTCAACGGAACAACTTGGAATTTGGTAGGGAGTTATATGGRGGTATCWTCATAATGGCGCTCGMAGGGGCGTATTTAAGGGAGGGGCACATGGGGCCCGTGCCTCCCCCATTCGCCGTATTTTATACTTATTTTTATTATATGAGAAATTTTACAACTCTACGCCCCATGTACGCAAATTTGAACTTTTTGCTAGTGGGCCCCCCTCCCCTTAAGACATTTCTAAATATGTCCCTGGGYGCTCGAGGGATTTAAGCACATTTTGACTTGATTTGCCCATGTTACGGCCGCTATGAACCCATTTCAGYGAGTCAGCGAATCAGAAAATTAGGCAATACCTGTTTTTTTTTTTATACAGGGCGCATACAACTAAATCAGAGAAGATTCTAAGCAAAAGAAAAATTGATTAGCAACCAAAGGTTCTTTTTTGGTTCTGAACTGAGATATTGTACAACATATTTTTATGTTTTCATTTTAATTAGACATTAACAAGACTTAACACTTTGTAGATATGAGATTTTTAATTTATTGTAGATACAACAAAAATCGTTCATTATAAAAGAACATATATTTTGTTTGAAKTTTGAAGTTCAAAATTTCGCTCATGAACATGTAAGTACATTTTGATATAGTAACTAGTGACTTTGAACACAAGAAGATAAATAAATTATGCTTAAATCAAGTCATATTTACTACACAAAACTTATTAAATTTTTTTTAAGGACCATATGCTGTTACCAGTGTTGGGTAAATTACTTATAAAAAGTAATAAAGTTACTTTATTCGTTACTCTAATAAAATTGTAATGAAATTACTTTACTTTTCAAATTGAAAAGTAACTAAATACTTTTTCTCATTACAAAAAAAAAAAAATTTTTTTTTAATATTTCTTAACAATATTATCATTGTGCCTGGCAATAATGTTACTAGAAATACATTATCTATAGTAAATAGATATAATTTGAAAAAGAAATCAATATAATACAATATTATTATTTTATATTTATTTATGTTTTAAATTAACTTTACACAATAGTGTATCTTCAAAGTTTTTGTCACTCATACGCAACCTTTTTTTAGAACAAATGTCCCTTGAAACCCTAAATAATCACTCTACAGAAGCATTGGATGGTAAAGCTGTGTAATATTTAATACAAATATTCTTTACTAATGTCATTGAATTAAAAATTGTGAGATCAACTGTATAAGCTTTAATAAATATTTATAGTATATTACTATACTAGGTAGATTGGTAAACATAATAATTCGAAACTGTAACGCGTTATTCAATAGAAATTACTTATCAAAAGTAATTTCCATTACATTTTCGTTACTTGGAAATAATTCTAATGAAATTACGTAACGCGTTATAAGCAAAGTAACGCCGTTACAGTAACGCGTTACTTTCGTTACGTTACTACCCAACACTGGCTATTACTTTATACTTAATATATTAGAATCTAGAATAATAAGTACATACTAATCATGACATCTGGTATACAACATAAYATTAACAACATTATAAAAATAGTTTAATCAATATTAAAATTAATAACATAATTAGTTAAGTATTATATTAATGTATATACTTTTTTTAACAATAAGTCGCTTGAATAAAATAATAATTAAAATCTTTGAAAWACAATTATAATTGTATTAGTTAATTCATTTTTAATATTATTAGAACATAAATGTGTTTTTTTAATATGTTTCATTTTGATTTAGTCTTATTTTTCTTGCTTTTATCCTCACTAAATATGCAACAAAATTAGTTTCATTTAATCATGGAACTTGTGTAGTTATAAATTATAATATTATAAATATACATTATTCTTCTTACCTARTTTCAAATGTTATAGGGAATAAATTATTCCTTCCAGCGTTAAAATTACATAAATCTCTCAACATTTTGATTAGCTTRATATCAATTATGGAAGGATTTTTAATCAGATTTGGATCTTCAACTACTCTTATAATTAAATCTTCAATTGCTGGTCGCAAAGCAACAATTGCAGCAGCAACTTTAACATCCATTTCTAAATATATCCTGTAACAGAAAATATAATTTCAAGGCTTCATCACATTTGCATTGYATAGTTTTAAATTTCACAAACCAATCATCCAACACAATTAAACTGTCAACATAATCAATTTTCTCAGCACCAAACAATAAGATGTGGATAGGACTCACCATAGTTGAGTTCATGCATAGTACATTTATCTGAAATTAAAATTAAAACAGTAATTTATGTCTATTGTATCAATAAATATTTTTGAATGACAATTTAATTAATATCAATACTTCAACATTTTTAAGAAGTATTTCACTTCCAATAATGAAATTAAAAGAAAATGTATAAACTAATTAAATAGATTATTAATTTATCTACGGCTATAGMCTATTTCACTCCCATTTACAAAAAAGTAAATTTCCAAACAGCTCCTATTGAACAAGTATGTRAATTCCTAAAATAGCTCCAGTTTTTGAGAACACTAATTCCTGTATAGTAAATACACAGTACATACATACTTTCTAGTTTTTTCAGGATTTAAAAAAAATATGGTTAAAAATTTGATGGTGTTTTTCTAAATCCCACATGTAAAGTAAATTATAAAGAATTTTTGTTATTAAATACTAGAGTCAGTGGCAGATTTGAGGGGGGGACGTGGCAATTACCTCTCCCTAGGGAATTGTTTTTAGTTAAATTATGAATATGATCAATATTATATTATATCAATATTATAATATGAAATTCATAAGTCATAGCTATAAAATTAAACTTCTAAAAAAATGATACAAAATAAAGTATTTTTTTTGATATGAAAATCAGAAATATGTATTCGGATTTCAGTTACGTCTTAGTTATTACCTATCAAACTATGATACCAATTCGCCCCCTCCTCAAATGATCTTCAGATCTGCTACTGACTAAAGCAGTTAGGGTTGCACCGATATAAACTTGGGAATAATTTCTTTGTGTATGTATGTAGATATAACTGTTATTATCTTATTTATTTTTAAAGCTTACTTGTTGTTCAAATACAAAAAACGGTGACTGAAATTGAGTGCCTGATCCCACTAAAGGACTATTTACAGAAGATTTAGAAATAACAGCAAAATCCTTTGACTTTAAATTTACCTTAATAAAATAAAAATATAAATTATAAGCTATAAAGCAAATCACAAATACGGAATAATTAAACAAATATAATTAATTATTATGTTAAAATATTCGACAAAATAAATTTTTGTAATGTTTTTATAAGTTACAGATAAAAATATAAATATCTTTTAACATTGTAARTGTAACAAATCAATTGTCAATCATATGACATAATAATTTTGTAGTTAAAATAACGTTTTGTTTTTTGTTTTATAAATAACTGATTGTAACTTGTAAACAATGAAAGTATTAGTAATATTTAAGATTACATGATAAAGTTGAAACTTTTAAGAAAAATGTTTTCAAAATTATATTATAATTTACTGTTATTATTATTATATAGTAAGGTTACCTTGCGCTTTTCCTTATGAACATAAATGTTAGGATAAAATGCCATTACAAGGAGTGCTGTAATCATATCCAACTTTGGCTCATCAGAGATTCCAGTTTTACCAAAATCAAAATGTTCTGTTTCAAAACAACATTTAGGAAAACCAAATTTCAGAAACCTGTTTATAATTTGTTCCTAACAAAAATATAAATATATTCTATGAACATATTAACAAACAGAAACATTAATTTATCAATTTATATTTATATTTATACTTTTATATTGTATGTTGCTTTTAATACAGAAATAGATAAATTGTTTCCCTCAAAAGCATCAGTATCATTCGAATAATAACTAAATGTCGAGTCCCACTGCTTGAAAGCATTTAAAAAAGCCAACTGATCTGAACAACGGTTGCCAGAATAATTATGCTTAGCAGTATTTTCACCTTAACATATATTAAAATAGAGTAATATTGTTATTCTTAAATTTTTCATGTGGATCGACATACCATATTCACCGACAAATAAATCAATATTAGTTGAAGATCCAGCTGCTATTATACTCAATGATTCACCAAGCATTAGTATATTACCCAAAATCATTGTTCGTCCAATCTGTGGTTCTACAGGTAACTCTGCTAAAATAAATCCAAGATTTGTGAGGTTACCATTCCCATCTACACATTTCATTTCTGGAAAAATAACGAAATAAATATCCTGAATCAAGAGACTTTCTTATATAATCAGGGCAAAATTAAAGAGAACAAAATGAGCACATGGCACATGCTCTTAGGTCCAATTTTTTTTTAAAGCACATACAATTTTATAAGTATTACCTTGAGCACGATCAGTAAGAGTTAAAARTTAAATTTAAATATTTTGAGGTTTTATTTGGTGTAACCCAAACCCTCATTTATTGATTATTGGATTCCGAACGGCTCTCATCAAAAAAAAGTTTCAAGAATACATAAATTCCTAAAGGACTCGTRTATTTGACAACATAAATTCTAAACTCAGAATTGATGGTGTGGTGAAGGCTTATCCGCAACAATAATAAATGCATTTGATAGATAAAGAAAGTCGTTTCCCTCCTGAAATGAGAGGTTAGTATTTATCTTTCCCTTATTTGACCACTAATGGCTGTGAAATAGTAAATTCAATACTGTTCATCTCAACATTTTTAAATTTGTTGACATACCAAACCGAAATACAATCCGAGATGTGAAATACAATCCGAGATGTGAAATACAATCCGAGATGCGAATTAAAGATATGGCAATACTCTTAGCACACAGTGGCAGATCATGGGGTTCATAGAAGGAGGTGAATAAATATTAGGTACCTCTATCACAAAATAAAACTTCTAATTTCTGTTGGACTTAGATTTAATTTAAGTCTTGTATTATAAACAAAAAAACTTTTAGTATATACTTATGAGGTAGGTATATGATACTWCATATATTTAATAAAAATAAAGTTTAGGCACAGTTTGTTTGTATCTGACAGTACCATAATAATATCTGCAATAAAATGGAGAAATACACTGCTGATAATCAGAGCACAACACGTATGTACGATGTACCTGGTGGTCAAGTACTAAATATATGTTGTAGGTAAGAACAAATTTTTTTTTATAATACCATAAAAATAATAATATAATATAACTGAATATTAGGATAGAACTATTTATGTATTTAAATTTTAAATATCTCAGATAGAGCAAGTGTCTGTGAATAATTAGCACGAGAGCCACCACTCCAAGCACAAAATCAAAAAAAAAAAAAAAGCAGTTAAGTGGATGTCGCTCTGCTGTACAGTAGGTTACAAGTGGGTTACTGCAATGGATGGAATTGAATTTGAATCCAATGATATTATATCATTGTATACGAAAAACGATTCTTAGAGAAGACGGTTCATCTGTTTAGGTCTCTAGGATATATTATAGATTATTAAAAATTTTCATATCTTAGATTTAAAATAAAATTTTTTATGAATTTCTAGCATAAAATAATTTTAACATTGCTGTAATTTTTACGTATTTAGTCAAAATTTGAACTTTAAATGCTTTTAAAATAAAATTATGAGAATGAATTTCTTTTATTTTTCAACTGCTATTGTAACAATATGTTAAGAGCCTTGTATTAAATTTTCAAGCTTTTCTGTCTAACAAATACATTTTTATCGATATTAATTAAAAAAAATTAATAATGATCGAAAATTGCATATGCCTATAAATAGTTCAACTTAAGTCGAAATTTTTTATATGGTGAATGTATGGTGGATAGAATATACTGATATAAACATTCGGTGAAAATTTCATGTATCTATGGTCATTTGTTTAAAAGTTACATTAAAAACCAAAATCGATTTTGTCGAAAACTGATTGTGCGTAAAATTTCCCGTTTTTCCTTAATTTTTAGTTTGTTCTTCTCGATTATTTAGATAATCCAAAYCCCAAAGTACCAACTAGATATACTTTCTGATCGAACGAGGTACTGAAGTMAAAAATTGAATCAGTTTTACTTTCCCAAAACGTGATGACAGACACAAAAAAAAAAACACACATCATGGTAAAATCAATAAATTCATCGCTGCGCTCAGAATCTAAAAGTGGAAAGAAATTTGTTATCAAAAACGAAAGCCATTTAGGGATTGTCCTGTTATGCACAATGAGAATCATTTAAAAAATTACCTTTTTTAAATGGAAGCCAAATAATAATAAACTTCTTAAAATAGAAAAAATTAAAATATCTTAYAAATTTGACTCCATTATGATTATATACCGAAGAAATAATAAACATAGCAAAATTAAYAACATGCAATGTTTCAATAACAATATTGAAAAAAAGTTGTTATGAAATCATTTTTTGAACATGTAATTTTACAACATTTAAAACTGAAAAGCACAAGTTACAAAAATKTTATTGAACATAAAATAAACCGAATAACTACTGTCCAATTAATTTATAGAATTAATTTTTTTTTATTATTATAAAACTATTATTCAACTAAAAATTAAAATACTTAAGACTGGTTTCTACTACAATATAATACAGTACTATAGTGGTGGAAACGTAATTTAGCTAGCCTAAATAAAAATGTAAGATTATATCATATGACATATACCACTTATGGCATAAAATCATTATCGATTATATATTTATTAGAGATAAAATGATGTTTTTGATAAATTTAAATGTTTCTAGCCTTGATGAATTACCAAATAAGTGTATACAATATATAAAATTGAAGGTAAAATGTATCATTGTGTCACATACTCACATGGTACAAAGTGCACATGTTTTAGATTTGATTTTTTTTTTCTTTTGATATACATTATGGATATTATGGAACAAGAAAAATACATTTTTAGAAATCTTAAAAATTTCTTCTTCTTTCCCTTYGCCTTCACAGTTCTCTCATAACTATTTGGGGTCAGCCACCCTGGTCCTCAATTTTCACTTACTACGATCCTTAGCATCCTCCAAAAACACCAGTTATTCTCATATCGTAGTCTATAACTTCAAACCATCTCTTTTTCGGTTTTTTTCTCTTCTTTTTCCATCCACACTTATGTTCTTAGTCACTGACTTAGTCAGTTTTTCTCTTCTTAAGACATGTCCTAGCCATCTCAAATTCTCAAGGTTGA